GGGCGCAGCCAGGCCCTGCCCGGGACGGGCCTGGGGGGAGGCGGGAGGCTGGCAGAACCAGCCAGGCAGTGCGGGGTGGGGAGTGGGGCACGGACCCCGTCCCGGGTCTCTGGCCCCCACCGCCCTGACGGCCCCCGGGTGGCAGGCGGGGACGGGCTCCGCGTGCTGGACCTGAAGGCCATCACCCGCCTGCTGTTGCTGCCGGGAGTACTGCCCGTGTTCCTGGTCAAGGTGGCCTCCGGCTTCCCCTCGGGTGAGCCTGGTGGGGGGCCCCCCTCCCCCCGGGAGCCTGGTGGGGCGGCCCCCCCCCGGGAGCCTGGTGGGGCGGCCCCCCCCCCGGGAGCCTGGTGGTGTGGCCCCCCTCTCCCCGGGAGCCTGGTGGGGCGGCCCCCCTCCCCCTGATGGGTGCTGCGCCAGGCCCCCACACCGGCCGGTCCCTGACCTCCTGTCCCCCAGGGCTCTTCATGGTCATGTTCTCCGTCATCTCCATGGACTTCTTCCAGCTGGGGGCCGCCCAGGCTGGCTACCTCGGGTCCTTCTTCGGGGTGCTCCAGATGGTGAGTGGGGGGCGGGTCCCTGCACTGGGCCGCCCCATCACCCGCCCTGGCCCTCCCGCGCGAGAGGGTCTGGCCTTGACAGGACAGGGCTGTGCCAGCGCAGTCCTGTGCCCCTGGCATCAGAGCCTGGCGTGGGAGCGAGCTGTCACCCCACTGCCCCGCTGTTTTTGTGGGGGGCCCTGCATCTGGGAACTTGGGTCCCGGGATGCCTCGGAAGCAGTTTGAGGGGAGCAGCGTCCCTTCTGCCAGCCCCAGGGCCCAGCCCAAGGTCAGCTGCACCCCTGCCCCTCCGGGCATCGGGTCAGGCCGTGGGGAAAGGACAGGCGGCGATTGGAGGGGCTGTTCTGGGCCCGCGGGGAGGGGGGCTCTGAGGCCGGGGCGGGTGGCCCCCGGGGCCGCAGTCACCCAGCCGCTGGCCCGCTGGCCCGGGGCGGGGCTGGGGCGCCAGACTGGAACAAAGCCAGGCCCTCCTGCAGATCGGGCCCCGCGGCCTGTGCTTGGGCGCCCGGACACACGGGGTAGCTGGCCCGGGCCCTGCAGAGGCCGGAGGACTTCTGGGCCTTCTCCAGACAGACGGGGGCCCCCAGTGGGGTTGGGTGCAGGCGGTGCTCGTGCCCTGGGCCAGGGCCCGCATCCACTGGGCCTGCAGCCAGGCGAGAGCGCCCCAGGGAGCCAGGAGCCCCCTGCAGGCCCGGGGGGCGCCACAGGACCCGCCTCAGCTCCCCGCTGCCAATGCCACGGCTGGGCTGGGCCTCAGGGCCGGGAGGCGCCCTCCGCCGAGGGCCGGGGTCCATGGCCGTTCTCCCCCCCGGCGACTGCAGCCCCGCCCCAAGGGACCCCCAGTGTCTCCAGCTCCCCCTTTGGGGGCACCTGGGGGCCGGGTGGGGTGGCAGCAGGCTGGTCATAGTGGCAGGGACCCTGGTCACGGCCGAGCACTGGGGGGCCCGGCCGGGAGGGGCTGCAGGCGCAGGGTGGTGGCTGAGGGGTGCGGTGGGGGCCTGAGAGGCCAGGAGGGCTCGGAGACCCCCATGTGAGCCGAGGGCTTCGGGAAGGGCCCGGGGGTCACCTGGCGAGGCCGTCTGAGAAGGGCGGCCCCGGGGTGGCTGGACGAGGGCCGGCGGCGGCCCGGGCTCCACGCAGGGCGTCCGTGCTGGCTGAAGTGGCCGGTGAGACACCAGGCCGAGGCTTTCTCGGGGCTGACCGGCTCCGGCCAGCGTGCGGCCTCCGCAGGGGCCGGCTGGCCTGTCCGCCAGCCCTCCTGTGCTGCGGGCGCCCAGAGGATCCCGCCACGCAGGCCTCTGCAGCCGAGAGCGAGGCTCCCTGGTGGCGCAGCGGGTTGGGGCGCACCCTGCAGGCGCCTCAGCGTGGGCTGCACCCCCGGCCCTGGAGGGACCCCAGGGCGCAGCAGCCCCCTCCTGACCCGCGCGCTGCCCCCTCTGCAGTGGACTTCACTGATCCGACTGTCCTGCTCCCCACTCTGCCTCTGGGGAATCCTCTCACCCCCTGCTCCTCTGGCCTGCACCCCAGTTCTGTGTGCACAAATAAATAAATCCTTAAAAAAAAACCTAAGGTGAAGTGAGATTCTTTTTTTCATGACTTCTTTTGACTTATTTATGCACACAAGAATTGGGGTGCGGGGGGTGAGGGGGTACCCCAGAGACAGAGTGGGGAGCAGGACAGGCAGATGGCCGAAGCCCACTGCCGAGGGGGCAGCGGGAGCCAGGAGGCTCTGCCGCCCGGGTCCCGCCCTGGCCGGGCTCGCCCTCAGGCCGCCGTGCCCAGGAGGGCTTCGTGGGGCCGAGGCCCTGGAGCGGGCGTTTGGGGA